AGTGTTCTATAATTGTTACTAAATGTAGAGGTTAGTGTTCTATAATTGTTACTGAATGTAGAGGTTAGTGTTCTATAATTGTTACTAAATGTAGAGGTTAGTGTTCTATAATTGTTACTGAATGTAGAAGTTAGTGTTCTATAATTGTTACTAAATGTAGAAGTTAGTGTTCTATAATTGTTACTGAATGTAGAGGTTAGTGTTCTATAATTGTTACTGAATGTAGAGGTTAGTGTTCTATAATTGTTACTGAATGTAGAAGTGGGTGTTCTATAATTGTTACTGAATGTAGAGGTTAGTGTTCTATAATTGTTACTGAATGTAGAGGTTATTGTTCTATAATTGTTACTGAATGTAAAAGTGGATGTTCTTTAATTGTTACTGAATGTAGAAGTGGATGTTCTCTAATTGTTACTGAATGTAGAAGTGGATGTTCTATAATTGTTACTGAATGTAGAAGTTAGTGTTCTATAATTGTTACTGAATGTAGAAGTTAGTGTTCTATAATTGTTACTGAATGTAGAGGTTAGTGTTCTATAATTGTTACTGAATGTAGAAGTTAGTGTTCTATAATTGTTACTGAATGTAGAAGTGGATGTTCTCTAATTGTTACTGAATGTAGAAGTTAGTGTTCTATAATTGTTACTGAATGTAGAAGTTAGTGTTCTATAATTGTTACTGAATGTAGAAGTTAGTGTTCTATAATTGTTACTGAATGTAGAGGTTAGTGTTGTCTAATTGTTACTGAATGTAGAAGTTAGTGTTCTATAATTGTTACTGAATGTAGAAGTTAGTGTTCTATAATTGTTACTGAATGTAGAAGTGGATGTTCTCTAATTGTTACTGAATGTAGAAGTTAGTGTTCTATAATTGTTACTGAATGTAGAAGTGGATGTTCTCTAATTGTTACTGAATGTAGAAGTGGATGTTCTATAATTGTTACTGAATGTAGAATTTAGTGTTCTATAATTGTTACTGAATGTAGAAGTTAGTGTTCTATAATTGTTACTGAATGTAGAAGTTAGTGTTCTATAATTGTTACTGAATGTAGAAGTTAGTGTTCTATAATTGTTACTGAATGTAGAAGTGGATGTTCTCTAATTGTTACTGAATGTAGAAGTGGGTGTTCTCTAACTGTTACTGAATGTAGAGGTTAGTGTTCTATAATTGTTACTGAATATAGAGGTTAGTGTTCTATAATTGTTACTGAATGTAAAAGTGGGTGTTCTATAATTGTTACTGAATGTAGAAGTGGATGTTCTCTAATTGTTACTGAATGTAGAAGTTAGTGTTCTATAATTGTTACTGAATATAGAGGTTAGTGTTCTATAATTGTTACTGAATGTAGAGGTTAGTGTTGTCTAATTGTTACTGAATGTAGAAGTGGGTGTTCTATAATTGTTACTGAATGTAGAAGTGGATGTTCTATAATTGTTACTAAATGTAGAGGTTAGTGTTCTATAATTGTTACTGAATGTAGAGGTTATTGTTCTATAATTGTTACTGAATGTAGAAGTGGGTGTTCTATAATTGTTACTAAATGTAGAAGTTAGTGTTCTATAATTGTTACTGAATGTAGAAGTTAGTGTTCTATAATTGTTACTGAATGTAGAGGTTAGTGTTCTATAATTGTTACTGAATGTAGTGGTTAGTGTTCTATAATTGTTACTGAATGTAGAGGTTAGTGTTCTATAATTGTTACTGAATGTAGAAGTTAGTGTTCTATAATTGTTACTGAATGTAGAAGTTAGTGTTCTATAATTGTTACTGAATGTAGAGGTTAGTGTTCTATAAATGTTACTGAATGTAGAGGTTAGTGTTCTATAATTGTTACTGAATGTAGAAGTTAGTGTTCTATAATTGTTACTGAATGTAGAGGTTAGTGTTCTATAATTGTTACTGAATGTAGAAGTTAGTGTTCTATAATTGTTACTGAATGTAGAAGTTAGTGTTCTATAATTGTTACTGAATGTAGAGGTTAGTGTTCTATAATTGTTACTGAATGTAGTGGTTAGTGTTCTATAATTGTTACTGAATGTAAAAGTGGGTGTTCTATAATTGTTACTGAATGTAGAAGTGGATGTTCTATAATTGTTACTGAATGTAGAAGTGGATGTTCTATAATTGTTACTGAATGTAGAAGTGGATGTTCTATAATTGTTACTGAATGTAGAAGTGGGTGTTCTATAATTGTTACTGAATGTAGAAGTGGGTGTTCTATAATTGTTACTAAATGTAGAGGTTAGTGTTGTCTATAATTGTTACTGAATGTAGAAGTGGATGTTCTATAATTGTTACTGAATGTAGAGGTTAGTGTTCTATAATTGTTACTGAATGTAGAGGTTAGTGTTCTATAATTGTTACTGAATTTAGAGGTTAGTGTTCTCTAATTGTTACTGAATGTAGAAGTGGGTGTTCTATAATTGTTACTGAATGTAGAAGTTAGTGTTGTCTAATTGTTACTGAATGTAGAAGTTAGTGTTCTATGATTGTTACTGAATGTAGAAGTTAGTGTTCTATAATTGTTACTGAATGTAGAAGTTAGTGTTCTATAATTGTTACTGAATGTAGAGGTTAGTGTTGTCTATAATTGTTACTGAATGTAGAGGTTAGTGTTGTCTAATTGTTACTGAATTTAGAGGTTAGTGTTCTATAATTGTTACTGAATGTAGAAGTTAGTGTTCTCTAATTGTTACTGAATGTAGAAGTGGGTTTTCTATAATTGTTACTGAATGTAGAAGTGGGTGTTCTATAATTGTTACTGAATGTAGAAGTGGGTGTTCTATAATTGTTACTGAATGTAGAAGTTAGTGTTCTATAATTGTTACTGAATGTAGAGGTTAGTGTTGTCTAATTGTTACTGAATGTAGAAGTGGATGTTCTCTAATTGTTACTGAATGTAGAAGTTAGTGTTGTCTAATTGTTACTGAATGTAGAAGTGGATGTTCTCTAATTGTTACTGAATGTAGAAGTTAGTGTTCTATAATTGTTACTGAATGTAGAAGTTAAGTGTACTATAATTGTTACTGAATGTAGAAGTGGGTGTTCTCTATTTGTTACTGAATGTAGAAGTGGGTGTTCTATAATTGTTACTGAATGTAGAAGTGGGTGTTCTATAATTGTTACTGAATGTAGAAGTGGGTGTTCTATAATTGTTACTGAATGTAGAAGTTAGTGTTCTCAAATTGTTATTGAATGTAGAAGTGGGTGTTCTCTAATTGTTACTAAATGTAGAAGTGGATGTTCTCTAATTGTTATGAAATGTAGAAGTGGGTGCACTATTATTGTCATCCTCACCTATATAATATTACCATTTATATTTGTTGCAGATTAAATAGTAATGACAACCTAAAATCTGAGATCAATCTATAACATGATTTATGAATAATATCAGTAAACATATTCCAAACTTACAGTGTTCTCCTCCTACTTATCATACAATCAGCTTATATAACATTAATTCAGACCTTAAAAATTCAACAATGACATATATTCTATATTATATATGTAAACTTCCATGGTATAATGTACCTTTGTAACACTACCAACACTATTCAATCTTATTAAGTTTTCTCTACCTACTACATATGGTATAATATGAATGTAATATGTATATATGTATTAACAGTGTTTATGATATGATCCGGTGTATGTGTGACCTACTGCTTGAGAATTTGGGATCAAGGAATATGTACATTGTATACAGCTATGATGATATTGTTCATAGCCAAATAACAAACACTTAATATCTACTCAAGTTGCACTCGATACTACTAGTAAATGTTGCTTATGTGTTTTGTCTTAAGACCAATGCATTTCATCACCTCACAAAACTGTGGTAGCACTGCTGTAATAGAGTACTGCCTAAATTATGTAACTTAATTGAATATAATTAGAAAAAAAATCTATAATTTACAAAATAAGACTCTGACCATAGTTTCTATGTTGCACGCACAGTAACAATACAAGATGTACAGGGCTCTCATACCACATTTTGGGACTGGGGCCTGGGACACTTAGAATTGGAAAAAATAATGGTGTTTACCTTAAAATTGGAAAAACTTGGGGTCTAAATTGGGAAAAAAAAAGATACTATTTTGCATTGGGAATGGGGCCAAATATCGGCCCTAAATCTGGCAGATCGAGAGCCCTGATGTAGTATTTTACATCCAAAAAGCATTCAATAGAACCCTTGACATTTGACAATTTCAGCAATCAAATCATAAATCTGAAGGGTCAAAACTCAATTCTGGAGCCAAAAAACACTCTCAAAGGTGTACTGAGTGCCCTGGTGTAGTGTTATGTATTGTGATTGTCCAGGCTCCTTCTGAATAGTTGAAATGGACTACAAACTGCTGTGAAAGCTCCATAAACACAAACAGTAAGAATTTTAGTAAATACTTTGTTATACATTTTTGCTGTTCACCTTTAGTCTAAATAGTTAATATGGTTTCCCCAAAATTAGATTTTGCACATCAGAACCTGGTAACATATGTCTAACGGAAGCTAATATGAATACAACTCCAACCAAAAGCAGAAAAAACACTGCAGCAGAAAAGATATAGGTTATCGTGACCCATATTTGCCATATGTATACAAGATAAAGTCCAGTTTCAAAGCCTAATTATATTTTGACTTGCACCTCTGCTTCAATGTTGTGATACAGATTATGGAAAAGATAATTCTATATGTAAGTTGATCTAATTTCTTATCATGTCATGTTTGTGTTGTCACTATATACTGTGATTCACAGCAATTTAGATCTAATATGCTATAGTGCAGACTTAGTAAAAACAGATCCTTTATAATCAATACAAATGGAAAATTATACAAAAAAATAAAGCAAAGTAAATGAAAGGTACAAATCAAATACTGCCTATAAACATAATAGTAAGTGTATATTAGAAATAAAGTCACCGATACTCTCCCCTTTTTCTATCACAATTATCAAACATGTTATTGAATATGACTATACATTTGAGTATCGTACTGTGCCTTACCTCAAATGCCCAGGTACAAGCAATTCCAACGTAATTCTTGACACAGCGTCCAACTTCAACATCTTCATGGGTTGTCCGCAAATTGTGGAGACAGCTGCCAATATGAGGTGACATTTGTCGCAGTGTTTCATGACTGAGCACTATCCCTGGTCCACCCATACAAAAATTGTCCAGTTCACTTAAATGCAATTTTCCAATTTCGTCTTTTTTCCCTTTGCCTGCTTGTCCAATAAACTGTGGTTTTGAGCTGTTGATAGATCTAAGAAATCTTTCAACCCTGTCCCCTTTTATAAACACATCATCATCAGCACGTACAAACCATTCAAAATTGTCTATATAATTGTCATGCATATATTTTAACATCAACAGTGATTTTCGCTGTGGTGGGTATACATCATCAACTCCTTCTAAACTTACTAAAGGAATTTTGCTCCTTGTTGTTGAACCCTCGCTAGAAAAAAATAAAACCTTGCATGTTCCAACACAGGTCTGAGCCCAGGTTTGGAAGGCTGCCACTGCTCGTGTGTCCAAAAACTTCTTTGCTGTGATAACCCCTATTAAAATAAAACTCTTTTCTTCTTTATCAATGTAAGTTGACAAGTCTAATGCTTCAGATTTTGAACTGTCCACGTCATTGTTCATATTGTTGTTACCATTCTCGATAAACTGTCCATTTTGAATTTGTATGTGTTCAACAGCAATGTCAACATGGTAATTCACATGCACTGTGCAACAAGGTCCAGTCATAGGAGAACAAGGTAAAAGTCTTTGACGGCACCATGATGAAAGCAAAACCCCAAACAGTAAACCCAGAATTGTACCTGCAAAGTGACTGATACGGATACCATGTCTTCGAGCCATTCTCTACCAAAATAACTCCAAGCTTCATTCATTCATGAAACGATACCAACATCATGAGGTTGACAGCTGAGTTTCAAAATGTTCTTATGGAAACTTATTCAGAAGTGAAAAACTCACATCTCAACAGCTTTATAATAAATTTTATATGGAAATCTTCCCCCGTGCAACACGTAATAAATTACTCGACTCAACACATGCTTGATAATGTGGTTTCCCCATTGAGTCAAACATGAGTTTTAAACCAGTTTGGGGAACACGCGATTTCTATTGCTGTCCCATCGCCTCATTCAAAGGTCAGGCAGGTCTGTCGACACTCAAACCGGAGACGTGATCACAAACCCGTGAGAAATCCGATGAAGACTTTTGTCAAATTCCCACAAGTGCGATACACATGTAAGCTTATTTAGTTATTCCCCTATCGACTGCCATGTTCGCAATGAGACTGTTCCAGGTTAAATATGGCTATATACTCACACGTGCGACTCAGCCGTGACAGCCCAGTGTGACACAACCATGTGGTTCCCTTATTTACATTCATGTTCACACCTTTCACAAGCAAACATACTCATGAATGAATGGCCTTACGTCTGAAAATAGGTCAAGCGAGACATCACTTCCGGTTTAAATCACAACTTAGGTCAAATATATTAAATTGATTTAAATTCAAATAGAGGTAGGAAAGTAATCTCATTAGTTTTGGAAACAAAAATGAAAAGTAGACAATTCAATGGTAGAATAATAAGGAAAAGTATGTTAATTCTGTCATCTCGACCTGGCGAGAGTACGCTACAACATGGCCGACATTGATGCAGTGTGTTTTGTCAGGTTTATTTTAGTGATAATTTGAGCTAAATGTATTTATTTGCAACCCTAGTCTGATTAAGTATAATTATCATGCATCAGTGACACTTGCAATTGTATGTCAACAAAAATGATGCCCAAATTCACTACGTAATTCACGTTTCTGCGAAAGACACCTTTGCAGCGTTATCAACATGGCGGCATCACCATTGAAAACCAGTGAGGAAAACTTGGAACGCAAATTTGAGAATGTTACAAATACACAAGATGGCGTGCAGGGATTATCACTTTGGATCATTCATCACAAATCTGCCTACAAAAGGGTTGTCGATACGTGGTTGAAAGTTTTGAAAAAATGTACGTTTCTGCTCTGGAATTGGTTAAAATATGGTAACAGATTGATCAGGATATATCATGATGTAATTGTTTGTATCACATGATAAAATGGATTAAGCTTGTCAGTCATACATCTCTTAATTAGTATCCAGACCGCTATTCACAAATGTTAGTTGTTGTTAGGCCCAATCAGTCAGCCAAGTACTTCCCACCAATGGCAATGATCAAACAAATTGTCAACAATAATCATAATGATATTGATGTTGGAGAAGGCATACACTGTACAATTTAAATAACCAAATCTTTTACACAAATTTTTTTAAGATAATCAGTTGCGTAGCATACAAAAAATCACTTTAAGTAGGATTCGTCCATAAGACCATCTGTTCCTGTCAAAAAGTTGGAGGTAAAGTTGCAGAACAGGTATAACAATTCTGGTTTGAGATACATTTGTTTAACATTCTTGAACAGGAAAGAGAACAGTGTGAAGAATAGTTTTCTTCCACTTGAGATTGAACCTGTGATTTCTTGGTATCTAGTTAGATCCTCTACCACAGCTAAATGGAAATTCCCTGTAGCACAAAGGTAAAGGCTGATCATTATCCTATGTACAATTAAAATCTGCCACACTACTTCCCATGTTTTCAATGTGTTCATCCCTAGACACCACATCAACCCAGATTCCAACTCCCTATCACTAAAGGAAAGGTCAAGGTCACTATCAATAACAGGAAAGAGAATAGTGTGTTTCAAACTGGGATTGAACCTACAACCTCTAGGTATCTAGCTGGATCTTCTACCACTGAGCAAGAAGAAATTCCCTGTAGTGTGAATCTAGAGACTGACCATGATCCTATTCACAATTAAAATCTGTCATAATTCCATGACTAGTATACCCCTCTGTAATGTATGAAGCTTGAATATAGGAGACCTTGTCATTTTAAAGAATAATACTTTCTAGTCAAAATGGTGGAATGGCCAGCTACCTCTGAAAGTTGGAAACAAGTAAATAATGTTTTATTTTTTCAAATTGAGAACAACTTTGTGATAAGGTTAACAATGTTAATGTCATATCCCCAAGGAAATGGAACTTTTCTCTATGAAATTGTTGAGGCACCAATAAATTTCTTCGTAAATTTATATGATAGTCTTCGTCAACCTGCATCATTCAAAACTGAGATCATTATATATATTTGGAGCAATCCATTGAAAATCTTCATCAACTTAAACATGTTACAATTAGTTTGGGAAGCAGGGGATTATTATCGGAAATGGAAAAATGAAAATAGGAAAATGAAAGTCATTATATTAATCTGTTTATATGGCTTGATGGAAAGCTGTCTATATCAGATTCATTTTAAGAAAATTTGTGGGAAGAAATAATTATTTAAGAATTTTTTCATAGCTCACCTCATACTTATGGCCTGTTTTGCTGGATTTGTCCTGTGAATTCGGTCTACAATGGATAAAAATTGATATTCATACATTATATAACAATAATATAATTAATTGTGAATAAGCATTATGTAGCATATTAACATTGATATACAATTTCCTAAAATTCAGTGTATTTTTTTCAGCAATAACAAAACACAGACTAACACTCTTCAATGTTTGCAATGACGTGGTTCAGAATGGTAAGAGAAAGAAGGCAACAATTTATTTGGATGGATTCAAAGAAGTATTGAAGGAAGCAGTGTCACTTGTCAGGTAAAGTCTAGGTTGTAATAAGCTGTCATGGAACCCAAAACAAATTCAGGAAAAATTTGAATGATAATTCTTGATAAAATTGCATATATGTAATCAAAATGTTTTAAAGTTGTTGTAAAGAGTATCAATTTGTGAAAACATATCCTTATCTCAAGCATATGAAAAATGAAGTAAATGTTAACTGGTCTGTCATCATCTGAAATGCTTATGAATATATACATATTTCTGTGGTCAGAAGGCACAATCATGTCTTAATTGCTTCTACAAGAAATTAGTGTCTTGTAAGTGTTGCATTCCTAAAATTGTAGATGAAAAATTCAACTTCATTTCTGCATTGATTGTGAATAGCAACACCTACTGGAATAAAGAGGTATATGATGACAAAAATTACAATCTGTGATGTAAAAATCTACTAGTCCTACCAAAATATTTAGCTTGTACAAGTGGAAATTAGGAAATTACAGGCCCACTAGTCAGTGGCTAGTAACTTTTTGTGGACATTCTCTGTGGATATTCTCCCCTTCCCCCAAGCAGACACTAAACAATTTATGATGATTTCAAAACATCTACAACATATAACAAGAATTACTTTCTTTAATCATGAATTAGAACATAGTCACCAGAGATAAGAAGTTATTTACAATTGTCAAATACCCTGAAACATGATGTCCTGTCTGCTTGGCAAAGTACCAGTTTCCATATATTAAAAAGAATAATTTATCAGCAGCCAATAGCTATAAAAACAATACTTTTCATTTGATAAAAGAATCTTGGTGAAGAGCTGCAGCTCATCAATCCAAATGTGGCCAAGAAGATAGCTAAAGGAGAGCAGCCATGTTTGTTTATGGTGCATTCTAACTGCTGAAGCCAAAATGTGGACAATTTTTCCAAATTTTATTTCCTTGATTTTCTGTGAATGGGTCAAGTGTTTTTAAATGATATGGATGCATGTAAGCATCCAATTGATTTGTTTATAAATTTAAAAACATTAACACATAGTTGGCGAAATATTTAGGGCTAGCAGAATATTGTTTTAGGCTTGTGAATTTTAGCAGACTACAAGTCTTGGGCTAGTGCATTGAAAAAAATAAAACACACCACTGATAATATACAAGAAACTTTGTTAAGCATCGCATACATATTAAGAAAGAACATTAACTCATACAAGCTATTAGACAAACATAGCCAATACCTTAACAATTATACCTTATACAACACCTTATCAATTATATCAAAAGTTTTGTTTTGTGTTTGAATATTTTTATCAAGTCTGTTAAAATTTCAGAATCAACCACCAATTGCAAAATGCTGTATTTTTAATATGAAGCACCATTCTGGCACCACATTTTTTAATCGTGACAGCTATAGTCTGCAATTCAAAACTGTATCTGCGCTATTAAACTATTGACTGACCAGGTCCAGGCGACCTTGACCTTCCTAAACTATTGACCTTTGTTCTGTTTTCCATCAGAGATGACAGCATCAAAAACAATATAACAAGGATTCTGAAAATATGGAAAGAAAGAAACATCTTCCCAACAGCTTTTGTTACTGAACTGCAGGATACCTTGGGTAAGTGATCGTGAGTCATATTATATATTAGATAATACTCTAAGCATAGTCCATGTAAAGGTGGGGGGGAAGTCAGTTAAACAATATTTTTCTCCTCCTTGTGACATCAAACTTACTAAGACCTTGCATCACCAGAGATTCACCAGACAGATCTCAGAAACAATGAAAATACCAATACATCAAAAGAATCTTAACTTTTTTGACATAGTCAACATATTCAGATTCAATGAAACTAGGGCAAACTGTGAACAAAAGGAAGATTCACATGGAAACTCCTAAAAGCGTAGAGGGATAATAAGACCAGATGTTCCAGAGGGGTAAGTGACTTCTGCATCAAAACAACATGTAAATCATGTAAGTAATGTCACATTCTCAAATGAGATCAAGGTAAACAACAACAGAAGCACCAGACTTACTAATGAACATCAAACACATATTGGACAAGGAAAAAGAATATTTTTCCAATGAGATCAAGCCCTTTAAACACCAAACATGTATTCCACAAGACAAAGAATATTTTCTCATTTAGATCAAGCCTTTGGATATCAAATCAACTACCACATGTGAACACTTGTAGGTTGGGGATTCAGGGATGTGCAGTAGTTACAAGTCTATATATATATAAAACTCCTCTACATATACCTGGTTGTATAATCATGTTTACCGTCATTCCCTTATGTATCATGTTTGTGACCAGTGTCACTAATGAAATAAGGCTAAAAAGTGTCATGCTTTATAGCCTATATGTTATGTAAGTCATTATTGATGAAATCAGTACTAGGTGTCACCCTCGTTACACTTGGGTTTTGATCATTTTAGCTGTTATGCATCCTTGAGATTCGTTTAATGTACATAAAAGGATCAAACTAGTCTTTTCATCTTGTCCACAAGATGTTGCAAATGGAAATTTCATGACATGTTCCAGGAGTGCAGAGAGTGAAATTGATTGTAACCCCTGTACAAATATCTACAATGTCATTGTTTCTTTTTCTAGCAACCACATCTCCCTTTTCTGCTGTGCGACCATCACCAGTGGTTACTAACGCTCCGACTACAACAATATCAACAGCTTCTGCAGCATCCAAAGCTACTACACAAAGTCATCCCACTCCAGCCCCAACCAGAGCCAAAGCTGATCCAAAGATCCTTGCTGATTTCAAGGTAATTATTAGTTTAGAAGATCTAAACCAAACCAACATCCATCAAAAGCAAGTACTAGATATAAAGGGAAGTAGTTTTTGAAAATTCCAAGTATTCATGGCTCATTACACAAGTTTCCAACACTTAATTTGCTGACCTGGAATTACTGGCCAGCTCCTACACCTAGGTGAACAGGTTAAAACACACAGAAACATGGTAGAAAAGGACAAAGTACTTAGTGAAAGGGCATACTGAGATGACAAAATATGACAGGTACATCACTGGGAAATATCTACGACAAAACAGTGTCTCACAGACTCATCAGTCACATCTGAAACGTAGAGATTTATGTAGAAAAATGTGAAAGGTTAGTTGTTATAGGTACAAATTGATATACTGGTATTTTGATCTAGACCTACTACTAAATTTGTCTAAAACATGCATGATTTTACTGAGAAATGAAATTAATTATTTCATTACTTTGCCTGTAGCAATATTGTCAATCTTTAAGTTTTCCAAGATATCATTGTCTTGTAGCTGTAATCCTAATATATCATGATACAGATACTTATCAGTCAACAAACCTCTGCTTCATCGGTCACTGCTGGCAACAACAATATACCGCTGACTCTTGTGTCACAACTTGAAATAACTGACTCACCAGTCTCAGTCAATAGAAAGTTAGTTTTTAATAAGTGATATATCAAAGTTACCAGAAGTAAGCAATTCCATTTTTGAAACATGACTTGGATCAACTTGTAGATAAAGGGCAGACCTTTCATTTGTATATGTCATGCCTGGGAAAATTACAATTTCTGTCCAGATCAGAGTTCTGTATGACATTATTCAACTCCAGACCATTAAAAGAAGATTGATCGGACATCAGCACTTATCTTTTCTTTCATACAAAAAAAAATATCAATGATGAGGAATCCTTTATTCTTTCTTACTTGTAATACACTGGTAATTACATTTAAAAATATGAAATTTTTTCTTTCAGCCACAAATCCTAATTGATCGCATTAACAACTTCAAGCGTTTGGAGGGGGAGGTTGAACTGAAATGTAAACAGTTGTCAAGTCTCAAGTTGGACGCCTCCAGCTTAGAAGCTGTCAAACAGCTCAAGGGTAAGACTTATTGACTGACATAGATGATGAAAGATAGTGGTATACACATTAGATTGGAGTTCTTTTTAGTTAAATGGAATATTTTTTTTAGATGATTGTGCAGAAATTTTATCTTCCTACCAGATTGTAATTCACTATAATAACAGTGGTCCAACTTAAATAATACTTGATGTGGGTCTTTGCCTTGGTTGCTATAGCTCTATTAGAAGAGAATCAAAGTCAGATAAAGATCTAAGAGTGTGCTTCAAATTCTGGTGGTGTGAGGGTCTCAAGAAATTGAAATCACATACAATCCAGTGTTGTCATGGTTATGTCAATACACATTATCCCATTTACTCTGGATGTTAATGATGGGCCTCCTGTATATTATTCTATGAGGAAACTACCAGTTTCTTCAAGGAAAATACCCTGCAAACAAACCTTTCTTGAAAGTCTTGTAGGATTATCCTGAAGTTGCAAAGTCATCTGTTATGGTTGGTTCAGACAGCCATAGTTATCATACTTTGTCTTCTGTTGTACACATAGAGACTGTGAGCATTTGCAGGCTGTCCAGCGTCCCTAAAATTCCGAAAAAGTCCTAATTTTTTTCAGTTTTGCTAAAATTCCTAAAAAAAAAAAAATGAAAAATTTAAAGGGAATTCCTTAACAACCCCTAATTTTTCACTTCAGTTCCTACTTTTTTGATATTTCTTACAATTTACTGAAAATTTTTTCATTAAATTCATACTTAAAATGTATTTTAATGTAGTCTGCAGTTCTAATTCACGGTAGACAATGAAAGGCAGTTGACCAGTGGATATATGTACCCAGATTGTTATTGGTTGTGACTGAGTGACAGAGGTGTTATTCTTAAGGTCACAGCCAACAGCAGCTGGGACACTGAAACCCTGGAAGACACCTTTCCTGCAATTAAGGCATTGTATGTTAGTTTCTATTTTGTCAAATTTGCAAAGGTAAGTCAGTTTAATGCTTTCATACTCCCTCTTCTAGTTACAAAATTCCTAATTTTATCCCTAAATTTGCCCTAAAATTTTGTAATTTTAGCCCTAATTTTTTGTCAAGTGCTGGACAGCCTGCATTTGACATTTTTAATGTCTTACCAAACTTGTCACATCCTTTTGTAAGATAGTGGCCAAGAGGGTAGTGATTTTATGCAAATTGATGTTATAGGATGAAATACACTTTGGCATACATCGCCAAGAATACAATTAACTGAGGTTACGATAATTGTTTTGGTTGAAATGAAATCTATTTTGACAGTCTCAACATTTCACATTTAAAACTAATTATGATTTTTAGTAAGTGAATTAACTTAAATCAGGAAACTTGAAATTAGCTTAACATTCTTATTCAGTTACCTATTTATTGATAAAAAAAAATGAAAAAAAAATCACATAGCCAATGTGCATTGAACACCATATTCCATATTTTCTGAGAAGTAGAGGGATAGTACAAAGTAATCATGGAGAGGTCATGAATATAAATTGAGCACAATCATCATAGATAAAGGTAAAAATAACTCTGAGATAATTTAGTGTCATGTTTAAATCATAAACATTACCGAGTCATTTTCAGAGTGATGACATTTTGACAGTTTAACAACCAAATATCGGCATAGAAGTAGATGAATAGGAGAACAGATTGATCCAGTGATAAATATTTCTACCCTGATATTATAGTAAAACCTACAGCACATTATACATTTACTAATAACAAAAATGCAAGAAGTTATGACATTTAAACAGATTTTGTTTACCAGGTATATCAAAGTAAGAGTATATATAATTATCACTTTTTACCTGAATTTTGTGTGAATCCTTCATTGTAGTTAGCTTACAAATCTACATGTCAATCATGAACTCCCCGTAAGATTTATATCCTATTTACATCATCTAATGGAAACATTTACATGTGGTTTCATACAAGATTTGAACTTAGTAATCATCAGTATTTTGGGTCAAATGCATGTCACACTTATCATATGTAGAAAGTACAGGAGGATATTTATGTGAAGCATAAATATCTGAGTTGTTTTTAGCCCATCTGTTGACAAGTAATTATTGTTATCTTTATTTCTTGACAAGTTATGAATGGATCAGATTTTATTTACTGGTTCACTTTTTGTCCTCATTTGTCTATATTTCATTTCTAGAACAGATTAGAAAATCAAAATGGTCAACAAGTGGCCATCACTGATTTCCATAGTTCAAGATTGTCATTGCTCTTTCCTGAGAAATACTGGATTGATCATTTTCAAGTTTCATGCATAGATTTCTCTTGGTGCCTAGTCATGCAGTTTCTATATGTGGAATAGATTAGGTTACAAAATGGCTAATAGGCAGCCATATGGAATTTTGACAGTTAAAGTTTATAAGAGTATTTCTTGAGTGCTGGATTGGTCAGGTTCTGTATTATGTCCTAATTAGTTATTGTTTACAAAATTTTACAGATCGATCCCACGGAAAACAGTTTTCTAAGCAGTTTGAAGATTCAAGTCACAAACTTGAGGACTGCGTGGCTCATGCTGAGCGGGAGATCATGGAAAGGAAGGCTCTTATCCAACTTATGGAACAGAGTGAACTCTTTTATGATGAGCAGTACAGGGAGGCAAAAATTGTGGCCAATGTAAGATATAAGATGAAGCAGAATCAGTTTATTTCATATTTAGGAAATGGAATGAAGCACAAAATTTACTTTAAAAAACACTTCTTTCAAAATACAGATTTTTAATTATGAAGTAGCTGTTTGAAGTCATTATGTAGTTGCCATAATTTGGAGCTAATAATTACAATGATTGTATTTAGCTCAATTGATGATATGGTGTAGTGATATATTGAAACAAATGTTTGGATATTTAGTAGTATTTAAGGTAAACATGATTCCATTTTATCAGGCCTACAAGAATTTTGGAACAAGAATCAATAACTTGAGGAAGAAGTTAGATGACTTGAAGGGGTCTCTGCCCAGTCCAATCCCTTCTCCCTCAATGGATGCTCCATCTCCAGGGAACACACCACCCCAGCTTAAAGATGACAACACAGAGGCTGTGGACATGGATTTGGATGATGATAATGAAAACACCCCTCACATTGTCTGTATGTATATTCACTTTCAATGAAAACTTTCAGTCCTGATAACATCACTAATCACACATACACCAGAAAATGGTATAAGATGAAGGAAGATTCCTTATAGTGATCCTTATCTTGGTCTGTATTTATTAATTGTGACTAAAGTCCCCAAATTCATGCTCAAAATGCTCTATATTTCTGGTACATTTGACAGCAGTGCTGCATAAGTTTTAATCCTAACAACACACCTTTAGACTTGAGAAATTGTTATTAAAACTAATTATCACAGCTTATCAATAGTCACCATTTTGAATGAACATTTTATTTTCATCTCATAGTTATCTTATACGGGTAAATGACTTGTCAAATCGTCTTTCATTCTTCTCCATCCTTAAGAAGTTATTTGCTAATGATATTTGTCAATATTAAATATGAGACCGATATTTCTGTCACTTCATTGTCACTGGTCCTTAGTTGTACATGTGTTATTTGAACTTTGACACTAAGCATTGATGTGACATTTTATACCCCCATCATTTTATGTGTAATCCATGTCCATTCATCCTATTCCAAATCAAAATGGAATTACTAGACCCTCTCAACAAATGTGGTTCCTACTCACCACATATTATCATAACACTAACTGCTACACCTAAGATACAGGTCTGCAAGGGCATTCATATCTTTTAGGAATTTTCTGCTTGCCTTGAAAGGATAGATGGATTGTATCATATTTCACAAGTGTATCCTGCTTTGGTCCTGAACTATGATTGCACAATTTTGCATAAGAAGGATCATCCTGTTACAAGTTTTAGCATATATTTAGTGTTTGATTTGTTTTTAACAGATGCTGGAAGTAATTTATTATTTTATACTCTATTATCTTAGATAATAGATCATATTTTGTTTTGAAATATCATCAAAACTAGTTGTAACAAATTTAATCAATTTTATAAAATTGCTTCCTGATGCATTAGCTATTGACAGGATCAGGAAAGATTAGTGTTTTATAGGGATTTTGAAAGTCTTCCAGTGATTGTTGCAAAGGTCCCTATGATGTTATCTTTTCCTTTCACAATGTGATGAAATTGTTTAAAAAATCATGTAAATACATATACTGATGTAAGGACTGAAATTCAGGAAAACCCTAATGTAAAAGAATACACGCTATAAATATTTTGACATGCTTTCAACTAAGCAGCTTTAGTGGGTTGAGACAAGATATTCATATTGTATTTAGAGATGTCAGATAAATATTAAGTAGTAATAAGTATTACAGCACAATCATAATACATTTGGCATCGCACAATTTTTTCAAGTTTCTAGAATTTAATGAAATAAGTAAGATTTAAATAGATAAATAACACAATAGAATAAAAAGGGTATAACTGAAAACTTACCAGTATCACTCCTATTACAGCTGCAGCTCCGGTACCTATACCAGACCGAGTCACAATGCCGAATTACAATGTAGAAAATGTGTACATCACTAACCCTACGACTGGTAAAGGTATACATTTTATTTTTGTACTACCATTTTGTTTCTCATTCACTCAGTTAAAGATATAAGGTATACTATTTCAGACATGAATATGTGTTTAGACGAGGCATACTTCTTTTTAGATGTAGGGTGTCTATAGTCATCATCAGACTTATAACCTGAAATTTCATTATTTCTTCACAAAAAAAAAACAACACATCTATCAACGTAAGAGAGAGGTAAAATGTGTTTTGAAATTATTTTGTGAAGTAGTTGATGCTTTTATTTTGCATAATTCTTGTAAATAAGATCAATAAATTAAAAAGAATAAGTAAATATCCCATGAAATATACTTCATCTGTGAGAATTCTTAACTACATTATGCACATATTAATTACTACGCCTCTTGTCTGTTTGAAAGAAAATGGTATCTTCTACCATTCCAGTAGCCGCCCTTTGTCCATCCGTTCAAAGTTTCATACAAGCTTAATTTTGCGAAAAGGTCTTTATTCTACGACTTGACTAAGATTTTAAAATTACTTTCGTTCTTCTATAGAAGAATGGTAGTGTTGCTAGGATAATCATATTATGATTGAAACGGCAACAGATTTCCAACAGTGTTCGAGTTTCATTTTCAGTGACATGTTTGTGCACTCAGTTTTGAGAGGTAGTTTCTTACACCTATCAAATATATAAATGAAAACTTTTCTGTTTTGAAAGGTATATTATGACAATAGGTTAGTCATTAGTCAACATTAAAACATCAATTACATTATGCATAGATGTAGGGGTATTCATGTCATGACACTCTCTTTTTTCTTAACATTATAAAGGAAAGTTAATTTGACAATGATGTTTGCATTTTGTAGGAGACAATGACCTTGAGTCTAGGCTTGCCACAATGCTTCCATCTCTACAGCAGCACAGCTCTGCTAATGATAGTTTGGTGTACAATCCTCCTCCTGTCTACAACCCTCCACCAAAGCACAGTGCTCTTAGAGCCATTCAGTTAGAAAATGGCAATGATGGAGAGAACACTCCAGTCAAAGATGAAGGAAGTGCAACTCCTGTTATGGATGAAAAGCCTGATAGTTCACCTCCAAGACCAAAGAATCAAAATCCTATTGACTTTCTTACTCAGATTTTGTCCAAAACTACAAAGGGTTCAGAAACTGGTTCCAATTTTCTTCAGAATTTATCTCTTCTGACAAATACAGTGAAATCTCAGTTTCAAAAAGGGACTTCTAATCAGGCTGTTCTACCTCCTGGACCTGTACCCACACCTGGTATCCAGCCCCCTCTTGGCCCACCTCCACAACCCCCAAACTCCTGGGCTGAATGGAAGGCACAACGTGACCCAACTCCCCAGCCTCCAACAGGTGTTCCCCCTCCTATGCCTGTCTCCTCTCAACAGCCACCTCACCAGCCACCAATGTCACAGCCTACCGCAGTGATGTCACAACCCCAGAACATGCCATCTTCACAACCTCCTGTGCCTCTAGCACAATCCTCACTGTCTGGTCCCCCTGCTCCTCAGCTCCTCATCCCTCCCCCATTGAGGAACTCTCTTCAGCCTTCGGCTCCCAGTATGTTATCTCCACCTGCAAGCATTAGACCACCTCCCATCCCACCACCCATATCACCAGTACGACCTCCAAACATAGGATATCCCCAAACTTCTTTGTCATCAAACCAAATTGCCCCGCCAGTCAGACCTGATGGATGGAATTTTCCTCAGCCTTCCCAAAGTCCTCTTGCCCCCCAAGGGCCGCCCTCTCAGGGTCCTCCCCTTAGGCCTCAAGGACCACCTCAAGGGCCACAGCAAGGACCACCTCAGCCAAACCTAGGCTCCACACATGCTCCACCACAAAGCCCAATTTCACAACAACCTCATTTTATTCAGTCTTCACCAGGATTCCATGGACAACCTACAGGTGGTTTTCAGGGTCAAACTAACCACAGTTCATCCCCACCTTGGCACCAGACACAGGGTCCACCTCAAGGTGGACCTTCTCCTGTACAGCAGGATCAGTCATCTGCCCCCACATCTCCACTTCAGTCAGCTCCTACACCTCCTTCTGCACCTCCTAAAAGTATTCTTAGAAACAGAAAATCTAGTTTGCGAGAGGTACCTCTTACTCCTAGTCCAGGGGATACTGTTGAACAATCTCCTGTAACTTCCCGTGTTCCAAAACCTCCCATGGAGCCCCCAAGTCCAGATAGCATTAGATCACAACGTTTATCAAGGGAAGATTCAGACTCTTCTACTGGTCATGTTCCAGATGACCACAAAGAATTTTTAGAAAAATTAAAGCGGAAAACTACAAGCAATATGGCTCGTCCTGCTCCTCCATCGATGGATCAAGAAGAAGATGAGTCCAGAATTCCTGTGTTTACACGGAATGTTTCTCAGTCTAACCTGACAACAATTACACCAGTTGATCTCGGGGAGCCCAAAGATTCAGAAAGTGCTGTAGATACAAGTAACTCGGAGAATAATAATGACGACATCATTACCCAGATTAGTACCATAGACAGTAATCCTAGAGAACCTTCAGCAAAAACACATGATCCAGATGACATTCGACATGTGGGTGGACCCAGACGCCACCATGATAATTTTCCTCCAAACCATGAAAGGAGGCCATATGATGATCGTGGTGACTTTGATCACTTTGCTCGTCCTCCTCCTGGCAGAGACTACTATGATAGGTACAGAGATCCATATTTCAGAGGCCCTTATGGGGGCCCACCTCCCCCTAAGAGGCCATATCCAGACCCTTATGATAGCCATAGGAGACCTTCTCGACCTTACTACAGATATTAACAGTTTGTTTATGTCATTCTGTTTGGCCTGGCAGCAATCCGGTGTATGTTAGTCTCAGAATGGTAGAGCTACAGGATTCGTGTATTGTTATTGATAAGTTAGTTATTTGCCAGTATTTTTTAAGATAAAAACAAATAGCAGTTTAACTGTTGTGTGCTGTTGTTTGTGATAAATCTATGTTAAACATGTCACTTTTATCCTTACATACAGAATCTTATAAACTTTGAAGATTGTTTATAATTTCAGATCATGATTAAAATATCATTGGTCCGGTTTTAAAGTGCAAATATATATTGAAAATAAAAACCATTTATTTCTTGATAAAAATAAGATGACAGCTTCATGCTGACCAGTTTTGGTACATGTATATAATGTTTAGTTTAGCACACCTTTTCATTAAATTTCTGAAAGAACTGTGGAACCCTACTTCCCTAAACTTGGTTTACATCCTTTCATGGAACAGTGAACTTAGTCCCAAAAGTTTCCTTACATATTTCTTGTAACCACTGATTGATCCAACTAAAAATATCATGTTTACACAACTAGTTTGTAGTTATACTGGTATTCTGATCCATTTGTGAAACTGCCAAAATATCTCTTAGTTCTACCTTCTTAATATATTATCCACTAAATTGCCTGAAAGCATATACAGTATCAGTCATGGTGATAAGATGTTTCAACATTCCAACGTTCATTTTTTTCCCTATGAAACATAAAGTGAAAGCATATGTCCATCATAGTTAAGATGTTTATAGGAATTGCTGTTTTAGCAGACTGATGAATAAGGACCAAGTTCAACTTTGTAGAATACTTTTTTGACCTCCACCAGTTTCAGTGAGTAGGGTTTTACTGTATCTTCATTTTCAAAGTGAAAAATCTGCCCACTGTTTCAGTGCCATTTTGAAATTTTCATGGTATACATACATAATAAACTAACTGTTCATTATTTTATATGTAAGGTTTTTGTATACTTATTCTATAAAAAAATATTTTGTCTATTTACACAGACACATAGTCTGACACTGGCAATATTGACCTTGTGCACGACACCCAGTTGCGTGTTTTTAAAAGTGTTAGATTAATTTATCATGCTAGTACATCTGGAAAAAATTATCTAAAAGGTTCTTTATTTCATTGAATTTTCAAAACTTTTTTTTAGTATCTCATCACAGTATTTTCCATTTTCTCATAATATGAGATGTTAAGTTACAATTTTGTGGTTAAAGTAGTTTGAACAACAAAATAATATCACCTTCCATAAATCATTGAAGTAAAATGACAAAAGGGTTTACAGTGTTTTTTAATGTGTCATATTTTTTGAAATCATTGGTTGCACCAAATCATTTAATGTTTCTTTTTTGATGTGAGACAATTTTTTAGGAAATGATGAAGCCACAAAACCGATGACACAAACTCTTGTCTTGGTTTTTCTTTAAAATGTGTACATTTGATCATTGTAACTGTCGCAGGAATTCCCTGGAATTGACTTTGTGTCTGTGTAAATGGTTGAAGTATTTACAGACTATTTAATTAAGTAATAGAGTGCTAAAGAAAGAGTAATAGATTCAATTTGTTATAGATGTTAACACAGTTCTCTGTAAGAAGATTGTTGAGAGTTTATCATGTCATTGTAGAAACCTATATTCATAAAGTATTTGGAGTTACATTTTTTACAAAAAATTTTATTTGATCTTGAAATACAAATGTGTTTTTAACAATTCAAAAGGTGTGTTATTTGGAATTGAAGCAGGACTAATTTGTACCGTAATATGGTGCTTGATTATGACAATGCATGTTGTTGAAGCTGATGTCAAAATTTCCTTCACTACATTTTGCTTGGAAAAAATAATATGACAGCTGAAAAAATCTATAATAATAATTTGCTGTAATGTCCTTTGCATTTGATGTTTTTGTTCAATTGTTTATAAATGAGGTACTTTTAATAAACAAAATTGTGTTAAAATCTGTCATTTTGTGGTAAACGGCATTATTTAATGGGGCAAACACTCTAGTGCAGCAGATTTGGAGTAAGAGATTTCATGGATGTGTTGTTATTGTATGTGAGAAAACTCTGCATTTAATTATTTTGTCACCATCTGATATCATTGTGTGAAGGTAAATTGTGGCTACTCATGTGTAGGTTCAGGTATAGGTGCAAGGCTAGTCATGTGCAAGTTGAGTATGGTTACATGTCATATGCATGTGTAGTGTGAGAACAGGTTTAGTGTGGGTACATGTCAAGTGCACATGTAGTGTATGAACAGGTTTAGTGTGGGAAGGTACATGCCAAGTGCACATGTAGTGTGGGAACAGGTTTAGTGTGGGTACATGTCAAGTGCACATGTAGTGTGGGAACAGGTTTAGTGTGGGTACATGTTGTGCACATGTAGTGTGGGAACAGGTTTAGTGTGGGTACAGGTTTAGTGTGGGTACATGTCGTGCACATGTAGTGTGGGAACAGGTTTAGTGTGGGTACATGTTGTGCACATGTAGTATGGGAACAGGTTTAATGTGGGTACAAGTCATGTGCACATGTAGTATGGGAACAGGTTTAGTGTGGGTACATGTGCACATGTAGTATGGGAACAGGTTTGGTGTGGGTACATGTTGTGCACATGTAGTGTGGGAACAGGTTTAGTGTGGGTACATATTGTGCACATGTAGTATGGGAACAGGTTTAATGTGGGTACATGTCATGTGCACATGTAGTATGGGAACAGGTTTAGTGTGGGTACATGTTGTGCACATGTAGTGTGGGAACAGGTTTAGTGTGGGTACATGTGCACATGTAGTATGGGAACAGGTTTGGTGTGGGTACATGTTGTGCACATGTAGTGTGGGAACAGGTTTAGTGTGGGTACATGTTGTGCACATGTAGTATGGGAACAGGTTTAGTGTGGGTACATGTTGTGCACATGTAGTGTGGGAACAGGCTTAGTGTAGGTACATGTCATGTGCACATATAGTATGGGAACAGGTTTAGTGTGGGTATATGTTGTGCACATGTAGTGTGGGAACAGGTTTAGTGTGGGTACATGTTGTGCACATGTAGTGTGGGTACGTGAGGACTTGAGAAGAATCATTACCAGACATCAGTGTGACTGAAGGTGTATAAATGTTCCTGGAATGGAGTGCGGCCTTTTTACCTTATAGGAATCCTGTTTTAGACAGCGTCATGAGATAACGCTGTTGTTGAATGTTTTATCATTGATCAAGTAGGGTTAAATGAAAATGATGATTAATAATAAAACAGTACATCAAGTTTTAACAGCTTTTTTTGTGTTTTTATGTGCCCAGAAAAGTTTTACTGACCTATAAAGGTACATTATAAACTCTATCCGTCCTGATATGTTTTCCCACAGTTTTCGACAGCTTGTTCAGACTTTGTAAGCTTCATCAACTTGACATGAAACTTTGTTTTCCTTAACAACAGTTTGATGTGACTCTTTTTGATAGAGTTTCTGCCCACTGTTGTTTTCACATTGCTTATATTGTCCGGTTGTCTCTCAGTTCCAACTGAATATTTCCAAACTTTGTAGTCTTTATCACCAGTCACATGAAATTCTGCTTTCCTGAATGAAAGTTTGATACCACTGTGTGGAAGAGTTACTGTCACATTTTGTTTTGATAATGTTTATATTGTTGGACATCTCAATTTTCAACTGACTTCTTTCAAACATGGTAGACTTCATAACTATATCCAACAAGACAGTTCTATGAAACAGCTTTGAAGGAGTTATTTCGCTTTGTTTATTTAGCACTCTGGCTTTGTGCAGAGATTTTCTTCCCAAGTTTTCCTCCAATTTCTCTGAAACTTTGTAGCCTGTATAACTATGGCATGGAATTGTGTTTTACTTTAAGCCATTGGGATTTTACAATGAATGGAAGAGTGCTTTCCCTTGATTAATTTTTCATCTAGTCCACATGTCTACTTCCTCAGCTTTTAACCAATTTCTTTGAAACTTGGTTGGCTTAAAGCACACGAGATTGTGATTTTACAAACAAATTTTTGTTTTTAAACCAAATTTCAAAAAAGTAATTGTCCTTTATTCCTTTCCGCAATTTTATATTTCCCATCACTTTAAAACTTCATATGCTTTACCTTATGATCAAAACATACAACACTGTTTTATCAAAGCACAAACTTACACATTCCATGTTTGTATTCATTTTGATACATGGACATTCTTGAAGTCCTCCAGACTTCTTGGTTTTAACCCAATTCCGATTATTGTACTTTTTACTTCCGCTGTACAGGTTTCCAACGTTTCTCTCTCAAACTCTTAAGATGGATCTTCACCAAACTTTGGGGTCTTAATACTGATGACCTCATGATGAACAGCAACCTCCTTTTTCTGATTTGGCAAGATGGCTGCCATTTTCTGACGCCTGATCTGTTGATGCTTTTTCTGCTATAACATTACATCCATTCAACGCATCGAAATGAGAATTGTTGTTGATCAGCCCCGCGATATTCTTGTTACAGGTGTACATCCAGGTTCCTTGCCATTGTTAAATTTATTGTTTAAAATTTAAAGGATTTGTCTGTTCCTTTGACCTCCCTTCCCTCTGTTGAAGTATAAAATTAATAAGCATCATTTACGACTGAAGGGGTAGTCTGGAGTGTTACTTGTGTCGCATGGGATGTATAATATTTCGTTCTACAGTATTCTAAGTCTTGATGTCCACGATCTGGTCACAGTTATTTTTTATAAAGCACTGGACAGTTCTTTCTCACATTTTGTTCTCTAGCAATCGTTTAATTCTATTAACATTTTGGCAGGGGAGGGGTTATGCAGGATATTAATTCGAATGAAAAGGAGATGAGAGTTGATTTCTGCGAATTTAGAAGCTATTTGAATTTATATTTAAAGGCCAGATAGTTGCAGAAAATGCTATTTATTGATAAATTTAAAGTATTGCTAATTTGAACTTTGTAGTGGATTAATATGGAATGTCAGAATTCAACAATGAAAACGCGTCGGAGATGTTTTAAGTGATTAAGAACAATGACTTCAATTAAGTTGTTTCATATAAATGTATATATTTATTTCATATTTCATGTACATAAACTATAGCAAGATAAAGATACTAAAACATTTGTGTTCAATAGACAAACGTGTATGACATTCCAGGAAGCAAGATTGTTCCCTGCCTTCAACTTTGGGCAATATTAAAAATAATTATCAATGTCACAATGATTAAAATTCGATAGAGGACGTACGTGTTATTGAACCGTTCACGCAAAACGTCGCGACATCACTACCAAATGGAATGGCTGTTGAAACAAAAAGGACGAAGATATGTAAGGTTGAGGTTTAACACTAACATCGCAATGTAGAACACGTCGTATGTAGTGGTACATGTTCTTCAACAGATAAAAATGTGTTTTGCTCGGGAATCTAGAAAAATGTAACCTAAATTAAGTATGTATATATATATATAGAAAATCTTAGTCCTTTTACATTCTTTAGTTTATATAGGCCCTCAAAATGTTACTTCGAACAATATACACTAAGACATGAGAGTTTCCTCCACTTCAATCCATTCAAAAACCATGCACACGCTGATACCAATATAAAGCAAAGGACTCATCATTTAAAAAACATGTTTTGTAACAATTTATATCTGTGAATACACTATTACTGTAAATCACTTCGATTTCGCGGATACTTTATCTCGCGAGCATACCTTTTCAGACATATTCGCGAATACTTGATTTCGCGACGCTGATTAAGAAATGACTTGAAATATGTGAATGATGAGCCAATAGAGAGCTGCACCCTTCACGACAACCCATATCAATAACCAAAAATATGTCCCACGCGAGATTGTAAGTGATTTACTGTATCTGATAGCACATGTTGCCAGCAAGGTGTGTGCTTAGACGGTGTTGATCGTACTGAAATCTATTATTTTATTTAAACATTTTTTTTGCCAAGAAAACAAGCAAACGGATTGGCCACAAGTTGTTACATTATTTTCGCTCTCTCCACTGAAATCTTTCAGTGCCATTCCAGTTTCTAAAAAAAGTTGGTTTTTTGTTTGTTTTTTTTTAAATATGGGTTTATTAAAATTAGATTTGGGAGATGCATTTCTTAAATGTTTCAGGTTAAACATAAACATACTATTATTTGTTGTCGTCAAGTAGAGCGAGACCAATCATAGTTCTGATGTTGTACAACGCTTATAAGTTAAATGAGACAGATATCTTAATGATCAATGTTGAAGATCAGGTTAAGAAAAATACAGTAAATCTGCTGATCGAAGCAGGTACAAAATTGTATACATAATGTACTCGATTTATTCAACAATGGGTACAAACTACGGAATACCCCCTACGTCATACTGACAGCTACTGTCATTTAAGGACGGAAGCGGCCTCTGCCGTACTGGTATCAGAAAAGGTGACATCCAACATGTTTGCCAACGCCCTTAAAGAAACTCAAAACAAAGGAAACGGATTTTTTCCCTATAAAAGGGGTTTTAAGGAGTCTTAATACAGGACTAGCAATGAACTTTTGCCATAGATGTAATGATTCTATGAAAATGTTGCTGGATATCCGGATAATTATATCACCGATTGAAGATGTAGAAGAATGGATTACAGGAAGATTTGTTTCAGTGTTACGCGTGTTGGAACTCCTTCCTGACATAACAGACCACACTAACATATGCAGACGACTTAAACTTTGCGCTGAAATGCCAGCTATTGATGGACAAGGGCGTGGCATTCGCCGAATGACCGCACAATATGTACTCAGGTGTGAAATAATAATTTAAAAAATCACGTTATTAATTTCATTATGCATTTAGTTGACCTTCATATTTGCATTTCGGTGTATGTGTTCAGTACGGGGATAGAGACAAAGGTAGGGGTTCAAGTATTTGTAATGTTCAGTACGTTTTTTTTTTTTTTTTTTTTTTTTGTTTTTGAACTAGTGGCTACCTAACTGATCATCATGTGATGAGCATGTCGTATGTAGTAGTGTCTTGTCCAAGGAAACAACTATGACAGCACAGATGGTCCATACACACCTCGGTCCCTCATCCTAAACACTGACAGAAAAAAATGTCAGGGAAGAAAAGAAGTATCAATTTGAATTGTATTTTAGGATGATTTCGGGAAATAATTCCAAATATCTTCAGAATTATTTGGAATTCTTGCGGTTGCTTCCCTTTGACCAATTTCATTCACATTCATGGCCTCGGTGAATTTTTGAAGTTGCGTCCCTTCGACCAGTCCTCGTTAAAGTTATCGTTAACGTGGGTTTTTTTCAGGTTACCTCCCTTTAACCATTTTCCCGTACATTGATATCGGCGTTGCATCGATTTAGGATGTCAATTTTCTTTGCCGAAAGCCATTCAAAATCGACTCAACAATTGCATCAACCACAAGCAGGTCCAGAAAGGTAAATATTTCTGATACAATACCTGACATTCGGCAGGATGTTCCAGTGACTCTGGCCATGAATCCAATGCTGATCACAGTACATTGCATTAAATCTTCAAATTATCCTCTAAAAATAAGGCAATAAACTTGATTATCTTACAAATGTTCATATCTCACACAATCATATTATACGCAAGTTGCACATATTGTCGGTATTTATTTATTTACTTCGAATAAACAGGGATAAACAGTAAATTTGACTGGTTGTTGCTTGTCAACGGAAATAGAAGTCACCAGGTTTATCGAGGCCATAGCTTCGCCTCGCCCCTTCTTATTCTCTTGAGCATATTAAACTACTTGATGTAACTCGAAGTTAATTCTTCCTTTCAAATCTAAACGAAAATGTCAGGGTGAATTTCTGAATGTGATTAGTTGACATAAGTTCTAAAGCAGTCGAATGTGAAAAAAATGATTTTGGAGATATGAAAGTTTGATAAGCACAACTGTAATGATACAAAGTGCATGAACGAGATGGGCTGTCGATGGAGTATCATTTAAAATTTAGTTATAACTGGAATATCCGTCGAGGTAATTTTTTTTCTCGCTCATCTGCAGAATACTTAGACGAGACAAATTCAAATTGTGTTCATATGAAGCTAAATTTATCAAAAAGCTGAACAAAACATATCACAAATACCCTGCAAAGGCCTTAATGTTTTTAATATATCGCTGACTTGTCTTAACAAAAGACATATTTACTATACCCTCACCAGTGGAAACCAAGGACACTACAGCCTCTGTACAACGTAACCAACAAGGATAACATTCCTTCAAGCGTTGTGAAAAATGTAATTCTATCAATTTCTACTTTCTAT